AAAAAAAAAATCCCTTTGTTCTCGAGTCGACTCAAGCAACTCTATAGGACAGAACAGAACAGAACTGCCTGTTAGGTTTTCCAAGGCTGTAATCTTTACAGAAGCAGTCTGCCTGCCTCATCTTTCTCCTGTGGAGTGGCTGGTGGGTTCAAACCACTGACCTTTCAGTTATCAGTCAAGCACTTAACCACTTGCACCACCAGGGCTCCTTAATTATTTCAGAGCATGGAATATTTTCTTTTTAAACACTACATTCTTAGACATATGGTGGATATAACGATAGCCATGTTGTCAAAAAAAATTTAGCCTTGTTAATTGTGAATTTTCAGTGGAAAAGAATCAATTCTCATACTTTCACCAGAAAAAAAAAGAACAATCTGAAGCCTTCACTCTCACTTCCTAATAATTTTATTAGTGACTAGTTTCTGTGACCCTTTGCTTTTCTTGGCTTTACTGTTGTTTCTAAAATGCCTAAATGTATGTAATTACTTTGTCTAATTATTGTTACGCATGTAAACATGTAATTAAAAGCTGAGGTATGCAGGAGTCTTATGTCCTTCACAGCATCTCAACACCACGCATCCATAATTAAGCTGAAAGGTAACGTTCTAAGGACATTGAGCATAAATGAATTTGTGACCTACATCAATATGATTTTTTTTTTTTTTCTTGGGCATCCTCATGTTCGAAGTTGTTGCCTTTGGTTCTGTTAGAATTTTTTGTGTTTGCCCATTTGAGTAAAGCAGCTCTTTTCTTTGGTGGAGCACTGGAGCTTTGCAGTTGCGCCACATCATAGAACATGCTTCAGCAAAGAGAATACGCCCTTTGTTACAATAAAGGGGCATTATCTCACTTGCCTGGAGAGGAAATCACCTCTAGAGTTACTCGTATTTCTCGTGAACTGAAAAAAGATCTCAACACACCCAGAGTCCCTTTTTTTTTTTTTTTTCAATACTTGCCTTTTTTTTTCCCCCTCTATCTTGCCTAGAAACTGCTGGTTTTCCTCTTCCCCAATTCCACCCAGTTTTTAGACCAGCAGTCTGAGACCCCCTGCTGGAGTGGGAGGAGACAGACATTTACTGAGTGCCAGCTAATCCCAGACACAGTGAGGAACTTTATGCTCAATCCACCCAACAACTTGAATGGTAGATGTTGCCATCCTCTTATACTAACAAAGCCTGCAGAGTAAATACCACACAGCTAGTAAGAACAGTCAGGCACAATCTCCCAAGTTTCCTTCCTGCCACACCATGTGCTTCCAACATGGTCCTTAACCCTTTTGTGACCCATGGGACATATATCACCCACCAACATTTGCAGCTTCTCACATTTCTTGGGAAGCTGCTATACCAGTTGTAATATATTCTGCTGCCTGACAGGGACCCGTATAGTAGCGTGCATATGAAGAACTGTGCCTCACCCCACCAATCCTACCACCAGAGTCCACTTCAGACCTTTCTGTCCCAAATAATTATATCAAAATCCATATTACGTCAAAACTTTTTTTGGCTTTGATTTCAGCATGCCTTCTGTTACTGAAGTCACATGGTATCAACAAAAAATTCAAAACAAAATAATTTGTTCATCAGAGGGTCAAACCTGTATTTCTAACTGTCTCTTATTCATCCAAATGAACTAGGTTGGACCAGTTGTCTGTCAGCTCTCCTTCCTTCCTTCTTCCTTCCCTTCCTTATTTTCTGACAAATTGATCATGATAATTACAAAACATGTGGAATGCAGAAAACCATAGTATTGAAAAGAAAAATCATGTATAATCTCACCATCTACAAATATCCACTATTAATGATTTGGTGTCTGTTCTTTGATTTTTTCTGTATGTATTTCTCTGTATCTGTGTCTGTCTCCCTAAATGAAGTTAGGATCTTACTTTTATGTGATTTTTTTTTTCCCCACTCAGTATTTTGTGAGCATTTTCCCATGTCATTCAAAACATTTCTTAACCAGCATTTTCACCTGGGAAGGAGCCTCATGGCATGGTGACTAAAGAACTCAGCCACAAACCAAAAAGTCAGCAGTTCTAATCTACCATTCACTGCACAGGAGAAAGATGTGGCAGTCTGCTTCCCATAAAGATTTACAGCCTTGGAAACTCTATGGGGCAGTTCTATTCTGCCCTTCAGGGTCTCTATGAGTCAGAATATTGATGTGAGTCAGAATCATCTCGATGACAACAGATTTTTTTTTTTCATTTTTACTGATTGCATAATATTCATTGTTTGGATGAACTTTCAAAGATTTTTTTTTTTTCCCCTGAGGTAGAAGTTGAATAGAGAAAAGACTTGAAATAATGTAACTCCAAGAGTTATGTAAAGAAAATAATCACCTTCTGTTAAAAGGGGTTGACCATTTACTATGATATAAAATGTATGAAGTGTAGGGCTCCTTCTCTCATTGAGAGTGTAGGTGAGTAGATTCATAGTTATGTCTCACTTAGACAACTGAGGAAGAGAGAAAACCACATTCATCACATACACAGTGGGAATCAGTGGTCAAGGTGATAACTGTGGGCGCTGTTAGCATAATGTATGTTGTTGTTGTGCCGTCGAGTCGGCCCCGACTCATAGCGACCCCTCCTTG